TCTCTGCTAAGCCAAGCTGGTTGCTTGCCACATTTGTTATTCTTCCTGTGCATCGGGATGGTTTGTTCCTGTCCCCTCAGTAAGATTTCTTTAAAATACAGCCAGCTCTCCTGTATTCCTTTCCCCCTCAGATTGGCCTCATGGGGGATCCAGCCCATCAGTTCCTCGAGGGGGTCAAAGTCTGCCTTTCTAAAGTTGAGGGTTTGTATCTTTCTTCTTTTTTGTCCAGTTCCTGAACTCAGTCATCTTGTGGTCACTGCTGCCCAGCTTGCCATCCACTTCTACATACCCCACCAATTCTTCCCTGTTTGTGAGCAGCAGGTCAAGAAAAGCATGGCCCCTAACTGGTCTCTCCAACATGTGCACCAGGGAATTGTCTCCAGCACTCTCCAAAAACTTCCTGGATTGCCTGTGCACTTCTGTATTGCCCTCCCAGCAGATGTCAGTGATTGAAGTCCCCCATGAGAACCAAGGCCTGTGATTGGGAAACTTCCACTACTTGTCTGAAGAAAGCCTCATTTACCTCATTCTCCTGGTCTGGTGGTCTATAGCACACACCCACCAGAATATCCCCCTTCTTGCTCTCCGCACTAATCTTAACCCAGAGACTTTCAGCAGGTCTATCTCCAGAGGTTCACTCTTGCTACAGACTTGTAAAGTATGATGAGTAAATTGGGACTGGTAATAAGTGTAGGACTAGTGCATTAAATAGTGCTAAACTTATTCCAGGCAGTAATTTTTATTTCATATGATGGAAACAATTCCGTATCTTTAACTTTGTGCACTTTGGTGTTTTTGTCAATTTGGGAGCACTTGGCCATCAGAGACATTACCAGGGTTCACTGCTTGAAAGTGGCTCTTGTGGATCTGCACAGGCAGTGATGACATGGTCTGATACATTACTCATGAGGATGCAGGAGTCCTGAGAAGATTACTGCTCCAGGCAGCTTGAAGTCACCATTGCCAGCCTCTTCACCAGTGGCAGATTAAGATTTACTGGGGCCCTGAACAAACAGAAGGCCCTCCACACCCCAGCAGGGACTTCAGCTGGGGGGAAGTGCCCTTTCCCTCCTGGTGCTGCTGCCGCCAAAGGCGCTCCATGCCCTGAGGGGGAGGCTGGGTGGACACAGCCAGGCTGGAGGTGGGGTGGGACATGCTCCCCTCTCCTACCTGCTCCCTGCCCCCTCCCCCCCTTCCCACACCACGGCTGGAGTGGAGGAGAGCCAAGTGGGGTAAGGGTGGATGCAGGTTGCCTGCTGTGAGCTTAGGGCTCTCCATCCTGCTGCCTTTGCCTCAGGGGCCCCACTGTAGCTGGTGTGGGGCCCCCAGGACAAAAGCAGCAGAGTGGAGAGCACCAACTCCACAACAGACAGCCTGCATGCACCCCATGCACAAATATGGGGGGCACATGTCCCCCTATGCCTCCCCTGGAGGGTGTGGGCAGTGGCAGGGAGCTGTCTTGCCTCCCCTGTACCCCCCAGACAAGCTGCCTGTGGCTCTGCCTTGCTCCCTGCCCCGGATCCCATGCAACACTCTGGCTGGACAGTGCCTACAGCCCCTGCCCCACTCCTTCCCTCACCATGGATCCTGGGGTCCTCAATCTGCCACCCACACCACGGCCCTTCCCTCCTTCATGCCCCTTCCCTTCCACAGACCTACCTGCAGGGAGTGGCTCTCCACACTGCCTGGCTGCATTCCTGGCCATGCAGATGCACATGCACATGCACATGCACGCATTGGCCCCTGCATCACATTCCCTGTAGCCCCAAGCAGAACCCCTTGCAGGCTGAAATGCTGGCCGCCTGCAAGGGGAAACCTGCCGTTTTCCAAGGGAATGCAGGTATTGGGGGCCTCTGATTGGCAGGGGCCCCTGGGCCCAGGCCCCACAGGCCCATACATTAATTCACCTATGCTCTTCACAATTAATTAGGACTCATTGAAGGGTGGCAAGATAAAGTTTTCTTACCACGGTATAAGCAATAATGTCCTTTCTAGAAGCTTACAGTCAGTGACTGAAGACTATTTGCTTGAATAGTAAGAAAATTATTTGCTTGAAACTCTTATCAAGATTGTGCCAGCAGACAAAGGGGATATCTGTGTCAAGGTCAACCTGAAACTATGCAAGCCACTACCTGATCCTGTGAGCTAACAGAAAACCAAGTCTCCTTCACCCATAGCATGCCATCATGGCCACTTTGTACCCAAGTCCAAGTGCAGTATGTGGTTTGTTTTAGACTTGGATTTTCAGAGTGGAAAGTCAAAGCATTGCTCTGGCAAAACTGATGTGTGCTTTTACAATTTTATTCTTAGAAATGTGAATGACTATTTACTGGGTTGGTGGAATAGTTGATTGTAAATGTGTAGTGCTATATTTGAAGGTTCACAACTTCAGGTATTGGTATTAGTATGGTTTTGTTTTGCAGAGCCCTGACTCCTGTTGTAAATGTTCTCTCTTTGTGCCCAGTCCAGAGCATACACTAGGAAAGTTTTTGGTATTTCTCTCTCTTTTTCTTTCTCACTTTTGCCCATGACTTCCAATGCACATTGTTAAACTAAACCTACTGTTTCAAAAAGCATTTATTTCCCTGTATGCTTCTGGCTACCATTTTGAGAAGAGGGGGATATGAAATGAAGGGGAGTGGAGGGGGCTGTGTAGGTGTCTCTGTGTGTGTACACATGTACTAATACTATGATGTATGTAGACACACACACACAAGTAATTCATCATTAAGGAAAGGGATCCAGCCTCCTTAATGAAGATTGGGGTTCTCTGAGACCCAACTGAACCTAGCCCAGCTGAGCATAGAGACAGAACCTACTGTACTAAGAAAAAAGGAACGCACACCCACACCCACCCTGAGTTCTCTTCCTTTTTTACCTACTCAGGTTCAGCTGAGTCTCAGAGAACTCCAGTCTTTATTAAAGAGCCTGCATCCCTCTCCTTAATGATGATGATATACTCTGCTGGGGCACTTTTTCCAAGTGTAGCAAGATGCCTGTCACTGGTGCTTGGGGTCTCTGTCTAGCTTACAACATACTGCTTGGCTTAGTTATGGCAGAAGTAAAGGGCAGCACCAGATTTTTCTGTTGGCCTCCTTTGCCTTATGGTAGGACTCCCATTATTCCTTTCCTTTTGCTCAACATTACTGCTTGTCCCTGTGGTACTTCAGCTTTTGCGAGTCCCATGAAATGCCAAAATAAACACCCTTTTTCCTTTGAAAATTCAGTAACTGGGGTTGCAAAGCCCTTTTCCACCTCAGGCTGTGGATATCCTTGACTTCTTTCATGGAGTAAATAGCAGCAAAATTTTTAGCTGGAGTTTCTGGTATACCTTGTGCAGAGCATTGCAAAGAGAGATTAGCAGTACAAGAGGTATCTCCAAAACACGTTCAGGATTTGCAGTGCAATTAAGGGACAAGGAAAGACCGTTATGATGTGTAGTCATTATGAAACCTGGGCAAAGAAGAAGTTAAAATTGCAACCAGAGGTATTGTGGCATTGTTGTTGGAGGACTGTAGAGAGGCAATATACTATCTACACAGGGACTGTACTGGTGGAATAGGGCTAGTAGGGGGTGTTGTTTAAACAAAGAATGGCAGAAACTCAGAGTTTTATCAAAAGGGCTGAAAATAGAATGAGTGAATTGATTGTGGATGCATGGAAGGATGTACCAACATATGGCAAGTTTAACCTGCATAATTTTGTAATCTAAAACAGTCTTTAGTTTGTTTTTGGGAGCTTATAAATCTTTCATCATATTTCACTTTTGTCACTTTAATCTAAAAAGCAGCAGCTTACTGAAGAAAGAAGCCATCTCACAGGATTTCTACCTAACTGCAGCATCCTGAAAGGGTCGAGACTCTTTGCACAGTTAAAGATTAATTTGTTAGCAGCATGTTTAACTTCAGCATGGTCTCCAGTAAGGAACGTCCTAATTGTCTGCTCTTGGGTCAGCTGAAGCTGCTGTGATGTATTTCTCTCTTTCTCTCTTCCTTTCATAGGTTGCTGATGTCCTGCAGTTTTCAGTGATGACAGGCGGCTTCCTTCCACACCGGACCAGCACCTTGGAGGAGTGTTTGGTACAGCATTTAAAGATGTCCCCTAAATCAGTGTCCTTCATGAGGCGCAGACAGCAGGCAGTTCAGGTGAGAAATTCAGACAGGCAAGTACTGTTCCCAGTATCAAGGACACAGGCAAGAACTCTTCTTGCCCTTTTAAGTATTTATCTATCATGATGATCAGTTTGTTGCAGGAGGAGCTGCAACATAGGAAATGAATTAGCCCAGGCTGGGATTGCAGCTGAGGGTGTTTGACTCCACTTAGTGGTTAGGTTGCCTGGATACATGGGCGTATTTAGGATTTGAAAAGGGTGTGCCACATGGTGTTGTGCATCCTCACACACAACACAGATTTTTCATTCAACAACACAGATTTTCTTCAGTAAAAGAGAAACTAGAATCTTTACTAATATAGTAAGGGGCTAGCACTGTATTATTGAGTTCAAGATTGAAGCAGAAAACAAATATAACTATTGGAATGTGTGCTAATTTGCTAGACAGCGTGTGTGTGTATGTATATGTGTGTATATTCAAAGTTTAAAAAAACACAACAAGCTAGGTAACAAAAAGTCAAAGGATATTGTGTCATTAGTCCTGTAGTCACTATAGTTAAATGTGCATCTCTTATTAAGATTCACAGGACAAAATCTAGCCTTCTTGAGCATCTTGATAGTGCCTGCAATACTTCACTGTCAGTTATTTCTACCCCTTGACTTAGGGTTTTTAGCTAGAGCTAAAAACAGTCTACCAGGCTGTGAAACAGAAGAGAGACATTACCAGAAATGGCTAACTGACAGCAAAATCGCAGAAGAAAAGATAGTTTGAATAGTGAAACCTCAAAGCCATTGAAAAGGATAGAGGTCATTAACACTTGTGGGGTGGAGAGAGATTAATGAGAATCATGGAGCTGATAATGAGTCATCCAGTCAGTTGACTCTGTCAGCATTGCCTGAATAGATATGCAGCTGCCTCTTCCAGGGGTATAGGTTGAAGCAGTATTGTAGCCTGCTGCTGCTCCCAGACATTGGCTTTTAACATTTGGGTGGAGCAGGAACCAAAGCAGGGTGCAATAGCACGATTGCAACCTCACCTATCTGCCCCTGCATAGATCAGCCTCAGGAGCCGAGATTTTCTAACACTGACTGGGAGGAAGGTTCAAGCTTCCACTGACATCAGTACTCACAATTTCCTAATACATCATTTTGAAATGGAGAATTAGCAAAGAGTTTGCAAACCACAAGAGACATGCAGTTCTCTCAGAATTGTATGTAATTTGGGGTATGTCTAAAGTAAGGTAAAAGTTGCTGTCTGGGTTTTTTGGGGGGGTTTTCTATTTTGTTTTGTTTTTTTAAATATGTGAAACCCCAGACTCTAAGCCAGTGGGTCCCAACCTCATTAGACTTAAGGGTACCCCTCATTAGACAAGCAAAGGACATGGCATAGGTGGTTCAGTGCAGAGAGATATTTGGTCCATTTCAAAAGTGCATTTTTAGCAATGGAGCAGGGAGTGTTTATGTATTGAGCTTGAACTGCTATCAGTGATTATGGTTGGAAGGGGCCTTGAGGGTGCTACTTCTAAATCATCCCATACCAATGTTTATCCAACTTCTTCTTTAAAACCTTCAGTGAAAGAGATCCCACAACTTCCCTGGGTAGCCTATTCCACTGCTTTGCTGTTCTAACAGTGAGATCTAGTCTAAATTTGCTGTAATTTAAAGTTTATTGTTTTTGTCTTCCCCTTGTAGTAAGGGAGCACAACTGATATACAGTAAAAGTTCTGTTAACCAGCATCTTACAAGCTGGCATGCTCAATTAACTGGCATCCCAGCTTGTAAGATAAAGTAAAATCGGAAGTACCCACTGTGGCACTTCCGGTTTCTCTGAGCCCCCACGGCCTGGGGCAAAGCAGCCTGCACTGCCAAGCCCCCATGGCCGGGAGGCATAACAGGCTGTGTGGAGCCTGCCTCTGTGTCCTGCGGGGCCCACAGGGCCCGTGGGAGGGGCAGCGATATGGCGGGAGGGGCGGAGGGACACCCCAGACACGGTGGGAGAAGTGGCAGCCCGGGCTGCTCAATTAACCAGCATATTTGGTTATCTGGCATCCCCCATTCCCCGGAGATGCTGGATAACAGAGCTTTTACTGTACTACATTTACTTAAATCCAAGATGAGGGGGGCCCCTCACTCAACATGGGGCTCGTCTTGGATTCAAGTATTGGCTGGTCCAAGCAGCTGCTGCAGTCTTAACTTTGAGCCCACAGCAAAGCTAGAGCTAAACTACCACCTATCCTGGGCTGGGGTGGCTTCTGCTGTGGGGGATGGGGCACATACTGGGGGGAAAATGTTTGGTGGAGCGGAGAGCACAGGGGAGGGAGATAAATTTAAGACACCCCTTAATAAATAGATTCTACACATGGAAAATAATAAGAAATGTATAATTTTCCATATATAGAATTTAATGATTGGGGGTACTCTTGGATTCAGGTAAGTATGGTACTAGTATAACTTATGCCATCCTACATGGGAATTGGTATTAGCATATCTTATGGTGATGCAGATAGATCTTTAGTTATATGGACTTGTTAAAGCAATACAATTTGTGCATAAACTAAGCTATGGGAGGTACAGCTAGTGTCAGTTTTAACTGCACTAAGGGTACAGATCAGCATCTGGAAGGACCAGGTGAGCTGGGGAAGAAGGAGAGCATATGGCTGAAAGCTGCTCTTTGCTAAACTGTTTGCTGTATAAATGACTGAGTTATTTTAATTCATGTTGGGGGCATGCAGGAAAACCTTGATGTATGGTTTGTGAGACCCCTTCCACCTTCCCTGCTGAAAGTGCTGGCTCTGGAGACAGTGTACCTTCTGCCTCTCCGCCTCGTGTTTCTGGATGAGATGATGTCTGACTTAACAACCTTAGTGGATGGTTACTTAAATGCCTATCGGGAAGGGTCAGCAGTTCAGCTGGGGAACACTGAGGTAAGTATGCTCTTGTTGAAGTCTCAGGGTGGCTGGTTCCTTAATCCCCAAATCCAAGGGTGTCAAACTCACCTTGTGGCCCCAGACCAGACTTAGGATGCAGTCTCCTTGTGGGCAGGATCGAGACCAGGTCATAAGGCAGCTGTAGCAGCGGCTTCAACTTTGGGCGTGCAGTAGGCACTGAATCCGGAGCCACCGCATGCCCTGGGGTGAAGCTGAAGCAGCTGCTGCCATGTACCCCATGCCACACCAGTAGCTCCAGTTTAGACTCCAGCACAGGGCATGCAGCAGGGGCCAGGAGCCAGGAAAGTAAGGCTCTGGCAGTGGAGACAACGAAGCATGAATGTTTCTGTCAACCCTCACTCGCTCTCATGTGCTGATTGTCCTGTTCACCAGGGCCCTCAGGGTCTGGATTCTGTGGCAGGCCACTCCCTCCAGCTATGCTGGTAGTCTGGCAGGTTGGATAGAGTTGCTCTGTGGTCTGTATGTTTGACATCCCTGTGCTAATCATTTTACCTGTTTCCTAGTCCTAATTACCACACAGTAATTCCCGGCAATGACAGTTTTGCTGGCTCTCCTTTGCAACTACAGTTCAAACCTGCTGTCTCCCACTTACCAAAGGTCTGTTTTTGTCAAAAATATTTTTCACATTTTCCCTTCTCTTGCCCCCCTGCTTGTCAGCTCTCCTGAAACACTTGCTGACTTTATGGATAAGGTTTTGCATTCTTGTCTGCAGTGAGCCAGTAGTCATCCTAATAAATCTCATGCAGTGGCTTTTGCAATACTTGAAGAAATGTGGAAGCATCTGCCCTGTATAGAGTATGGAATGTTTTTGGGAGACTCCTGGCACCATGTGTCACACAGATTAGAAGAAAGAGGGGTGTTTGCTGATTGAGGGTGGGACAGTGCCAGTGCTTTTCAAAATGACCTTGCTGTTCTCTGGAGTATATATCTCTAGATACTCCTCTGCAGTTATCTTTTTGGACAGACCCTCCAACTTGCTTCCTGTCTAAAAAACCCTACATCTGGGCCCCCAAACACTTAAATATACATAGTTTAACATGTGTGTGAATAGTCTCATTGAGTGGGACTACTTTTGTCTTAAATAGTATTTTTATTCTGGTTAATATGAGAAAGGGTCTTTGATAAAGCCGTATAATTTGTGTTTGTAATCCAGAGTTTGTCTTGTCAATCCTTATGTCAATACAGATATCAGCTGTAGTATCTGAGTCCCATGTGAAGTTTATTTCCTTTGGCACTCTGCTTCAGACTTCTCCTTGCACTGAACCATTTTGGATTTCTTTTGAGTTCCCCCCCTTAAAACTGTGAAACGGGTGCTTGGAGAGTTCAATAACAGAGATTGGAAAGGGGTGCTAAACCTTCCCCTGCACTATGACAAGTAAAATTAACTTCTCATTGGATTATGCCTTGGCATTGCTGGTAATATTCCATTGCTTCATGTTTAAATGGGATACATGACTAAATATATCCTTTGTAATACACATAGAAATAGTCATTGGTTCACCGTGAAAAGAGAAAACCTCAGACTAGTTCTCCACATCTGACTCTAATTCAGCCAGGCACTAAATGTAGTTTTAAAACCCTTGGGATTACTTACAGCACATGCCCTTTATGGACCTAGATTTAGGAGACTAATTAAAACATCCACTAGAGGTCATTGTTGCGTCACAGATGAAGGGGTAGATCTCACCATCTTGAACATTTTTACAAAGGAAGGAAAAGTTGTCCATTAAGGAAAAAAATAACCTGAGAACTGAATTTCTAAAAAGACATATAAACTTCAGGGTAGAATATCAACATTCTAGATCATCTTCATATATAATGATTCCCTCAGAGGCCATCTACTTACTTTAAAAAAAGGAAAAGTTAGTGTGTGATATTTTTAAGGGATTACCCAGGTTAACAGTGAGCCAAGGCCAACCCTGGTATAAATCCAATGACTTTCCAAAATTTGGACCAGGAATGAATCTGTTCCCATTCATTTAAAAATAAAAATAAAAAAAATAAGTTCTCGCCAGTCTTAAAATTAAACTTTAAGGTGGCTTGCAGATATGGAACCATACCACCTGAAAAAAACATGATTTACTGGAAGAAGCATCATGTTAGTTTGACTCAACTCTGGAGTGTCTATATGGATCAGCACTTCAGCGGCCTTTTTGCGCTTTTAGCTAAAGCTGATTCAATCAGCTATTAGATAGATGTGCCAAAAAGCCCCACTAAAGTGCCTGATCTTTACAGATGTCGGCAGAGTGGGTCCAACTAAGGCACTGCCTCTTCTGGGCATGCATGGGGCTCAATGCAGAGATGTACTGAGTTTAATTTAAAGTGCTTTTTCTTTTCTTTTTTCTTTCTTTTTTTTTTTTTTGACATCTGCAAGCAGCCAAATATCTATGTCCACAGTTCATAAGAAATTTACTTTATGCTTTGTTTCCTTTAAAGAAAATTTCTTATTTTGGACAGTGAAAATAGTGTTTCACTTGTGCTTCTCATTATTTGATGTGAAACTGAACTTTCAAATATACCTGGCCTTGCAGAAGAAAGGTGCAGTGTCAGGAACAGCAGCTTGGAGTGAGGTAGATTATGGCCTTGCTTTACACAGTTGCATCAGTTTAATTTAAATCTGTTTAAAAAAATAACTTTTTTTAAACAGAACACATTTCTGGTTGATGCTCTTGAATCTATTTACTCTTGTCTTATATTAGTTTGTCTTTTTTATTTACTCTTGTCTTTATTAAAATAATCAAAATCAATTTTAAAAATAAACCTCTATTTAAACCTGTCCAACCTTGTGTCTAGCCAAGGCCTGCACTAACTTACTTCATTAAGAGAGCCTTTATTTATTCAGGTCCAATTCCTAGAAAGTAAAAATAGCCAAGATTGCTTTTTTTTTTTTTCTTTTTTCCATTTACACTGGATAACAATTTCCTTAAATGTGGACACACTTATGTGAGTTTACCTGACTTCCAGATGGCATTATTGCTGTGTATGCTGTGGGGTACACCAGAAAACCATAAACAAAGTTAATCTGGCAAAGAAAATGACTGGCCATAATTTTTCTCATTAGCTGCATGGTATATTTGGGATCCAGAGGCTGTTCATTTCCAGAAGACCCACACCTAAGTGGCATAGGTCTGGCGCTCAGTGTAGGGATAAAGTGAGTGTTGAAATGCCAGATATAGATAATCATGATTAAACAGGACAAAGCCAGTGACAGGATGCTTTCAATGAAAGGCATTTTAGTCTGGAACGTACTGTCTCTGACCATGTTGATTCAGTTGAGCCAAACTGTTTACCTGCTGGGCAAAGTACAGATTTTAACTATTTTCTTAAGCTTTTTTGAGGGGATAGTTAAGGGGTTGCACAGCTGTTAAGGTGATTTTCTTCTCTACATATGTTTTGTATTATGCACTTACCTAGATAAGTGGATGAGGGACTTTACCAAAAACTGTAGCCCAAGTCAGTTTGCAAATGCTGCAGCAAACTTAACAATATAGTTCTATTGGAAACAATCTAAAAATGTGATAGGTTGTTCCTTACAATGCATCTTGTTTTTACCAAACCTAAATTTTGGGGTGAATCTGGTTTGACAGAATCTTTTTGATAGGAAACTGGCAAAGCATTTATTAAAAAATAAATAAATTTAAAAAAAAGCCTTGCAACCTTTTTGCTGCTTTATGATAGATAAGGAATGCCTGAAACAACTACTTGTTTTGTACAAGTATCAGTGATGCTTTTTCTGGTTTAGGTGAAGGACTTAAAAGATGTCTGAGCAGATTTGTGAACTCTTGCATCTTAATTGAAAGATATGGCTCTTTCCTGGAGATAGCCATTCTTTAAAATGCTAAGCAGACCTTGAAACAGTGCAATTTTTTGTCTGGTTGGTTGTTCAACCAATTTCATTTTTAAACAGCTCTTTCCCATATCAGTTCATTAGTTTTCAATATTTTTAACTCTTGAAATGTGGTCTTGGTATTAATTCTCCGGTTCATAAATTCTGGTCTTATCCACCCTAAGTGATTTTTTTTTATCAACAGTGTTTACATGACACTGTTGCAAGTGGCTGGGCTACCTAGGCACCAGCACTGTTCGGGGGTGGGGCTCTTGTCCCTGTTCTGTTGTACTTAAGCTTAAAGAAATGATGCTGTAAGGATAAGCAGAGTGCCTTTAATTGCTGACAGCCAGGCAATTAAACTGGTTGACAGAGGGGAAGTGTGCAGGAGTTACACATCCAAACGGTGTTAGAACAATAACATTTTTTATACTTGTGTTATACATTGGACAACTATAGAAGCCAATCAAATGTTACTGCTTTCATAAGAAAATCAATTACTGGTTACCACAGAGCTAACCACACAGGTGGGGGTACCTTAGTTCACCACTTTGATATGTGTACTAATTAGTTGTTCCCTCATTGTTAAACATCCCTATCTTCTTGGAAGATGTGCTACTTAACTTCCAGGTGCAATCTGCAAGGGCCTTGAAAATCACTGTCTGTTATATTTTTGGCAGTGCAAACCCAGTGCTATCTTATCCTGTTATTTGTCACCTTCCAGGAAGGATGTGGGAAAATGGGGCTAGAACGTGGTTAGAAGTAGAGCAGAAATTGAGTTAGGTGGTAGAGCAAAGGGGGAGTGCAGCCTGCCAGAAGCTGAGGCCTTGCTGAGCCAAAATTTTGCTGATGCCTTAGCAAGGCAGTGTAAGGGGAACAGGGCCTCTAGTCTCCTCCAGGAGAGACAATCTTAAATTCAGAAACCGCTGGAGCCTTGTCTGCACATGGGTTCTCACCAGCATAGCTAAACTGGACATCAGCGGTTGGAATTTTCTTACTGTAATTCTCAAGCATAAAAACCTTTTCTGGGCACAGACAACCTAAATTTCTAAAGTTAAAAAATGAGCAATGTAACTAAAGATGACTTTTTAAATCTTTTTACATGATAAAGCCAACAGGATACAAACCCAGTAGACATTTTGTGTAGGTA